AATAATCATATAATTCAAATAATTCATCAATAAATAAACCAATTGTTAAATCAACATTAGATAATTTTAAATCAAGTTTTTCTATATCATTTTTTAAATCTATTGCTTCATTACGTAATTGATTTAAATATTTTAATGTTTGTTCATAATCAAATTTTTTACCATTTTTATTTTGTAAATCAATTTGATCTTCTAAACGTTTTATATTTTTATCATGTTCATATATTAATTGTTTTTTCTTTTCTTTTTCTAATTTTAAATTCGGTACATATAATGAACGCCATTTTTCCAAATATTTATCTGTTATTAATAATTCTATATATGTTTTATTATTAATTAAATTAATTATAAATTGTGTATATGATGTAAATGTTGTATATGTTTTACGTTTATTTTCTAATTCTTTTAATTCTAAACCTAATTTTGATCCTAATGTTGATTCAATATCTTCAGATAATTTCTTTTTTATTATATTTATTTGTGCACGTAAATAACTTAATGGTGTTACAATTGATAAATTTTCTGTTTTATCTGATAAATGTTCAAATAATTGTTTTAATTCATTTTCAATTTCATATTTTAAATTAAGTTTTGATTGTTGCCAATTTTTTTTTGTTCTTAAATAAGTTGTTTGTATTGAAAATGATGAACGAAATAATGATTGTTGTTCTATATATTGTTCACTTTCTATAAATATATTACGAAATGTTGGTATTAAACGATTAGCACGACGTTTAATTTTAAATGTATTTAAATTTTGATTTATTAATGATGAATTAAATATTGGTGCTGTTGTCCAATATATATGTGGCCATTGTGTTTCATTTGCATAATAATTTTGAAATTGATTAATTAATTGTTGATCTGATGATGATTCATTATCATAATTTTGAACAAATATAACAATTATTGTTGGAATTTTACATGTTTCTAATGAATAATTCATTATTAAATTTATAAAATTATCATCATTATTTATTGATGGTAAATCATCTTTTGTTACATAAATAATTTGACAAGATGCATATAATTGTATTGAACGTATTAAATCTAAATTATATTCATTATGTATTGTACCATGTACATCAAATATAACATATGATTTATTTTGTGCATTAGAAAATAATACATCAATACATGATGAACGAAATTTTATATTACCATCATTTGATAATGATTCTTTTCGTTTATCATTAAATATATATGGTAATAAACTTGTTTTACCTAAACCAATACAATTTTTACTACCTAATTGTATTATTAATCTATCATCTGTCAAACATAATATTTCTGTTAAACAATTAAAATTAATTTTATAGAATGGTTCTTGATACTTTTCATTCCATATATAATATGATAATGGTATCGGTAAATCATTTTTACGTATAAAATTACCTAAATAATTCAAATAGATTATGATTACATTTGTATAAAAACTAAAATTTAATTAATTATAAAATATATAAAAAAAAATCAATTACCTAAAAAATATTGACTTTCATTTGACATACATTCAATAGCTATTATTAATAGAATACGTTTTGTAATTGAATCAATAAATAATTCTAATTTTTCTGTATTATTTTGTAAATCTAAACATGTTGGAAACACATCTTGAATATCACATAATGCATGATAACGTTTAAGACTATCTATAATATACGGTGTTATTGTTTCTTGTCCATTAATAATTGAAACCATTTTTTTTGCATCTAATGATTCAGAAATTATTGTATTAAATGATGGATCAAGTAACGATGCATTTTTTGCGTCAGGAACATGAACTACATCGAACCAAGTTGAAAGTATATTTTTTTCGTCCGAATCGAAAAGATCTTCCTGAATTGTCTGGAGATATGCGCTATTATCTGATTCGAGAAGTTGTTTTAGATCAATGTATGGACTTGATTCATAGTCAGTATGAGCTGAAATGATAATAAGAAATTTATGTGATTTTGTAGCTGATGATTTGGTAAACAAAGAGATTTGTATATAGTACAGAGTATTTTTTAGTTATCGTGTATTACTACAGTTCATTTTTTGTTATTAGGAATAACTTTTATTAGCTTGGTTAATTTTAGTCAACCATGCTTAAGAAGGGTAACCCCACTCCCGTTTTTTTTTCATAACTTTGTAGAGCGCTACAGGTTGTATATACAACTACCCTGAAGTTCTTTCGATGAACAGACTTGTAACTGCAGAGAAATGAATATGATTTTGATCCTCTGTTTAAAATATTTATAAAAAAATTCAAAATTAAAGCTGAAACTCTTATTGTTACGCAGGGCGACAGCGCACATTAAGTAACATATACCCACAAGTTATAATGAGAACTGAACTAACTGAGTCTGAGAAAGTTAACAATTTTCATTCTAGTGCAGTTTAAGCCCTTAAAGTAATTTTTTGAAAATTATGCACGCATTTCAGAAACAACGAAGCATTTTGAAGAAAACTTTTCGCCGATAAAGTTGTTCAGGATAATCCTTTTCATACCATAAGCGGAGCGCCTTTTCGTTTTAGTGGGAAAATTTTAAAATAAATTAGAAATAAAAAATGTTGAGCTTTAAATTAACTTAACATTTATGTAAATTGCATTTATTCCAAAATTTTCCCACTAAAACAAAAAAAGTGCTCGACTTATGGTATGAAGAGAATTATTCTGAATACCTTTGCCAGCGAAAAGTTTTCCTCAAAATGCTTCGTTGTTTTTGAAATGCGTGCATAAGTTAGTGGTAAAATTCCATGCAAGAGCGACTTCGGCTGATATAGGTTTTCACTCGATTTTTGAATTTTTTTCGAGAAATAAACACTGCCACGATACTCAGCGTAATGGATACTCCATTTTTCCATCGATCTTGGAACTTCGAGAAAATCCGATGCCGCGTCTAATCCACAAAAGATTAAGAGATCGCCTAATTCCCATTTTATAAAGGGCATTTTAGACTATCATATATCCATGAGAAATACAGGGGTCATTCTAGTAGATCTTGGAACCATGACCTATCTTTCAAAGACTAATAAGGAATATCACCTACAGGCGGTATGTTCTGAGTTATTTTTATGTCAACTAGTAGCTAATTATCTCTTTTATGTAATGCTGAAAACCGCAAGTCTTCAAAGTGCATTATTCAAAAGTTATTAAAAAAATAGCCAACGGCGTTCTTCTTTAATAATGGTATGGAGTCGAAATATATTTGACTGGAGCTTTTTTGCAGACGAGTTGAGGAAAAATCTTTTATGCAACTTACTTATAAGCACCAGGACATGACTAATTCGAAAATATGTCTGCTCAGGTCTTTTCCGTTGCCGAGATAAGAAACATTATTTCCTAGAAACTGACTCTTATTTATTGCTTCAAAGGCAAGATTTTTTGGTGAAATTGGTTACTCAGGCAGCTGTAAGTTTGTACTTAAATTATCTGGCAGTTTTAATTTTATAAAAACGTCTTCCATGGATGGGGAGAGCGCGCAAATTTTCCAAATTTTGGACTTTTTCCAGTTTTAACCATGTCGGACTTTCCATTTTTTCACGATTTCTACCAATGAGAAGTAAGCTCGCACCTAGTAAGATGTCTCGATACTGTACGCGAGCTACTTATGGTTGTTTTTTTCATAAAGGTATGATTATAAGTAGCCGGCAGAAAAGGTAGTTATTTTACGACTAATGCCTCCTATCTCGGTAACGGAAAAGACCTGAGCAGAGATATTTTCGAATTAGGCATGTTCCTATGTTTATAAGTAAGTTGCAAAAAAGATTTTTCGACAATTGGTCTGCCAAAAAACTCCAGTCAAATCTATTTCGACTCCATATTGAATAATATACGGGCTTTTAATTCATATATAAGCGCATGTATGACAAAATCTCGAAAAAATTCCACATCCGTGACAAATTAAAAAACAAAATACAAGATTTTGTAGTGCTTGAGTAACTCATTCGAATGATATATTATTGGTTATATTTGAGCAAGAGGGGTTGAAGAAAAAGATAATGCAAACGACCAGACTGCATTGAACTGGCATCAGTTTTAGAGAAAAATTTATAAAACGTCTATTAGATAGAAATTTTTCTTCCGTTTTTAATTTCATAATAACTATGAATAATTGTGCATCTAAACATACTTAACCAAATTTTTATCATTGGATCTGAACGACTTTTCAGATATCGAAAATCAGTCGTTAAACCGAAAATATTGACCAAAGACCAACGTTCAAAAATTCATAATTTCAACAATACTCATAGAACCGCTGAAATTTCTTGAAGATACATAGTACTTAACATACTCGACAAACTGGCATAATTTGGGGCTAGGTTTGGGGGTCTTTACCGTGAGAAACAGAAAAAGTACACAAATAAACGTAAATAGCATTTCAAAAAAGTCAGTGTTTGTGTAGTTTTTACGAATAGTCTGTTGACCAGACGTTAAAACCCTTTTGCTGACGAAAAGAATCAGAATCGGTGCGCGAATGCACAGAACAGTGTAGTTTTTGGTGGATGGAACGTGAGATCGCGTGTAGACATGCACCAGTTTTTAACTGGTGTTGGGGCATTCGGGAGAATTGCTATAAATCAGTTATCACGATTCTCTCAGAGCTGCAAAATATTTAATTTTGTAGAAAAATGTTTGCTCTACAAAATGCATTTGTTAAAAGAATTTCAGAATCATTTCTAAGAAAACTCGGAGTATTCAAAAATACATTAAATCACGGAGAAAAAACTGTTCGAACAGTTTTTTTTCGTAATTTAGTACATTTTAAAATGCTCTAAGTTTTCTAAGAAATGATTCTGGAATTCTTTTAACAAATGCATTTTGTAGAGCAAACATTTTTCTACAAAATTAGATATTTTGCAACTCTGAAAGAATCGTGATAACTGATTTGTGGCAATTCTCCCGGATGCCCCAACATCAGTTAAAAACTGGTGCATGCCTAGTCGTGTGTGAAACAATCGCAGAAAGAACTCATTATCCAACAATTGAAGAAATACCGAATACAAATAGCTGCCCTTAGTGTACAAATATTGAAGCATCTTTTCTGTTCATGAGCGTCAGACGCGTTTCAATTAAGAAAAACAACAGCTGTTAGTATAGAAGTACACGACTTACTGTCCGTTGATTAATTTCTATTTCAATTAGTTTTTCTTCATAGAAAAGTATAATTTTTGTTACAGAGAATTTACTGTCCGTTGATTACATAGAAATATATCGCAATTAGCCACTTTCTTGTATAGGGATTTACTTTTCACTGATTATTTGGAAAAGAAGATTACTTGAAAATCAATAAATGAGCAAATGAATATTCATTGCGACGACCAATGTATTATTAGAAAAAAATTATTGTGGTTTTTACATTTGAGAGAATATCGATAACCGAGGTAACATAGTTGTCTTTTGGCATGTGTATATTCAACAAATTCAGCAGATATTATTAAAAACAGTGTGAGAAGAGAGTTGTGTATCTCTACCTATATATACATACTTTTACGATAGTTATTATGCTGACGACTACTCTTTATTTAATATTTGTTTGAACTCTTGTTGGAAATTTATTCGTTGTCACAATGAATATTCATTTGCTCATTCATTGCTTTTCGTTCAAATAATCAGTAGAAAGTCAATCCCTGCAAGAAAGTGGCTTATTGGAATATATTTCCATGTAATCAACGGAACGTTGATAAAAAAAAATAAATCGTCTGTAGCAAAAATAATACTTTTCTATGAAGAAAAACTAATTAAAATAGAAATTAGTAAACGGACAGTAAGTCGTGTACTTCTATACTAACAGCTGGTGTATTTCTTAATTGCAACGCGTCTGACG